GTCACGTGTCGTGTCACGTGTCGTGTCACGTGTCGTGTCACGTGTCGCCTCGGCTTTAAACCACGAGATCGACGAGTCGCGGTCTGCATAGCGTGCCTCGATCTGAGGGTCAATGCGGCAGAAACGAGACCAAAGATTTTACAATGTTATAGTTAGCTGAAAATGGTTTGAACAAAAATATTATCTCATTAAAGAGAGACATTACACTGCACACGAGACGGTGTCCATGGTCTTGTTCTGGCTAATTTGTAGACAATTCAAGTTGAAGGTTCAACTTAAAAGGGAAATTAATTTTCTTGCTGGAATTACACAATATTACACAATTCACACAAGTTCCAGACTCCCGTTGTGTGGCCTTCCGCTCGTCGTCGGACTCGCCAGCTCCCTCGTTCTTCATTTTGGCGGGCTGCGGGCGCTTCCTCAAAGTGCTCAAAACGAGAAGAGTCACAGATCGACTCCATTTGATCCAATCAATTCAGAATTGAGACTCGATTCTATGCTTGAATGGACAGCTTCGTTGCTATCTCCAAAGGCACCGCTTCAAGAGCTTGTGAAGCTCTTCAAGCTCGTGGGAATCCAAGGCCTTCCTCGAAGAATCGAGGAACATGTTAGACCAAAACTATGAGTTTCTCAGAAAAGTAGAAATCATCGGTGATTAATTTAAAAAAAAAACAAAACGATACAAATACAGAACTTAGAGAGCTTCTACAACCAATTTCTCCTCAAATCAAGAGCAACACTCCTTTTAACCCTTTCTCATCCTTTGTCCATAGCACTTTCTCCAGAACGTGAGCGAGTCAAGTTTAAGGCAACTGCTCAAGCACGATGTAGTCGGCAGCCTTCTCCTCTGTCAAAGCATGTTGTCGAATCAGGCTTACATAATGCATCTTGCATGGTGCATGACTTGGGAATTGTTAGGATTTAGAAGCAGTTAGGCAAAAGATGGTTTGTACTGAGTTAGTGTCTCGGATGTCTAGTCTTCATTGAACCTGATCTGCAGAAGCTATGAGTCTGCGCAGTTATTAGGCCTGACAAACCCTGCATATTCAGCAATCAGCGTCTCTCTTACATACTTTCTGATAGCTGCGGAGTCCTTGATTTTGAAGAGGCTCTTCCTGGTGCTAGGCAATCGCTTATTCCCTCACATGATAGCTACAGCTCTTGAGCATGCCAGCTTTGAGGCGTGATTGAAATTACACACATTAAAAAAATAATAGAAAATAGAAAACTTGTTGGCCTTCCTGCAACGTGCAATGAACCTTCGGTTTGTCCCCGAATACTGCAACCTCAAGCACAGCCTCACATAGCTCGGAGGGGGGCGCCATCTTCGTGCGCAAGCGACGCCTGTGTCCAACTTGCACTCAACACTGCAACATCGTCAGTGAGCCGATCAATCACGTCAAAAAGGTACCCTTTCGTTCGTTGGAAGAGTGAGATTGTGTGCTTCCCATGGTCAGATTGGAGAGAAACAGGCAGCGAGCCTTGGCTCGATGGTCATGGCATCTGTATAGATGATGTGTTGTTCTCGTGGATTTCTCAGCTTTCATAATGTTGTAGTAACAAGTGCATTACTACTAATATCAAGAAGCTACTAGTAACAAGTGCATCGCTACTAGTCCTTCTGTAATATTCTGTTCTGCACAGAATTCTGCTATGCGGCCAAACAAATCAGGACTTCTTCGTGCGCTTCTCGTCGGCTTTCAGCAAGGTTAAGTAGTTAAAACTTCGGTCCATGAAACTCTACTGCGTCTCCTTCGGATAATTCGGAGATTTGGGTTTCATTGCAAGCCAGATACTGCGAATGAAGCTGCTTCATGTCGTCTATATATACTATGATAAATATATAATCATACACGCATTGTGACAGCTTCAGACACACATCACAGCATTCGCAGCTCAGTTTCGCTCCAAGTGTTTGGCGCTGGTTCCAGAGTTTCTGCCGTTGTTCGGACTGCTCCCTCAAGCTTCAGCTGCCGCACATCCCAGCATGGGCCTCTTGGGTCTTTTTAACATCATTGATTTTTGCGCAAGAAGTGTTCAGCATCCGCCAAAGATAGCGTTTCCTGGCAAGGAAACCACAGAAGCATGGCGAGTGTCATGCACCATCTACAGTGTTGAACCCACATTGGAAATCCTTCAATCAACTGAATACAACATAGCGACGCAACATAGTCGAATGAGTGAGGACTAAAGCTGGTTTTTTGTGAAGCTACAGGAACAAGTGCCACGCTAGTAGTAACAGGTGCCTTACTAGTAGTAACAAGAAGCTACTAGGAACAAGTGCCACGCTAGTAGTAACAGGTGCCTTACTAGTAGTAACAAGAAGCTACTAGGAACAAGTGCCACGCTACTTTTTGTGATTGGAGGATCTACCCAAGCATTCCAGCAAGTCTCGCCCCTTCAGCTCTTGGTCGCAGACCTTTGCTGGATCTCTTCCAAGAAACTCCCTCAAGTCTTCCAAGAAAAGATCCAAAGGATACTCGACCTTTCATGCGCAAGGGCATGCTGTGCAAGCCTGTAAGATCCTGTAAGTCTTTATACATGAACGCTTCTCAGGGAATTGAAACATATTGTGGGATCCAAGTGTTCTTGCACTCGTTGAAAAAGGGAGGCTTCCGTTCAAAAACCAGAATAATTTTCTTGCGACTCTATGTGATGGGAAGATCTTTACTCGCCTGATGGGTTCTATACTTCCCACCTGCTCTGCAGCCGTGAAGAGCAATGCGTGAGCTTCCTCACAAGTCTTGGACGCCTCCGTCAGAACACGTTCATCCAGAAAGCGTATTGAAACAAAATTGAGCACCTTCCGAAAGCGCAGTCAAATACTCTGCACCACCACATTTCATCAAATAACAATATTGGTTCTTCGAGACTCTTCTTGCTCGACTCTTGCCTCACCCCAAGTGCTTCTCAAGGTCTCTAAACGCTCCAGAGTTAGAAGCGGTGCCTGGCGAGACAGCTCATGCGAGACATCTGACATGTCTGGACAATCTCGGCCTCTTCGGTGAAGTGCTGGTCTAAAACCCTTGCAGCTGCCTCCACTGCCTGGAGAAAGCATCCGATACAAGACCATGTTGTGAACACTTGTGAGGAACTGCGGACAATACAGATTGGAAAGCGAATTCGGGAACAATCCAAGTTGCTCTTCGCTCTGCCCTTTGCCTCTTGTGCCAACTCATCACATGTGCCCTCCTTCCGCAGTGCCAAGGCAGCTGTAGGATCCCCTAGGTCAAGAAAGGGCGGCATGGAGGCCGTCGCTAGTGGGTTGGAGGCCATCAGGCCAGCATGTAAAAGAGACTTTTCTCGACATGAAGGACAGCTATTTGCTCCTAGTAGTATGGCCAGGAGCCCCTAGTAGCGTCCTTGCTCCTAGTAGCGATGCCAGGAGCCCCTAGTAGCGATGCCCTTGTTACTAGTAGCTTCTTGTTACTGTCATGATTTCTGACGTTTTCCGGCCTTTACTTGGCACGGTCCAGGAGTCCAGCCTGAGTGAATTACACTTTGCCCCGACTTCGGTCGGGACGAGGCTCGGGCAAGATGAACTAACTGATGTCATGCTTTTCTTACTACTTAAACGACTTTATCGCATTTTTGTATATACATATACATATATTATATATATACATATTACGTGGTTCCTTTTCTGTTCTTTTTGTGATCGATCTCTTGGCAGACAGCTTTCCGTGTGCCTGAGGTCCGTTCTCCGTGAAGCTGACATAACCCCGAAGCGCTTTCACCAGCGCCTGGCACAAGTGGTGCTGTGAGAGCCATTCACGCTTTTGAAGGCACTAGGAGCAAGGACGCTACTAGGGGCTCCAGGCCTTACTACTAGTAGCATTCTTGCTACTAGTAACAATAAAGCCTTTTTTGTCTCACTTTCGGATCGCGCCTTGGCACAAATGGAGCCGTCGCAGTAGTACATTCAACGCAACTATCTCTGAGACTCTGAGACTCAGCTTTTCCACTGCGACACTGTACATATCGAGGCGATTGGCCCTCTGTTGGGGCACAAAAACACCAAACTGCAGCAGCTCACCTTACGCCGCTTGCGCTTCAGCTTCAACAAGGACCTGAGAGGCGCCTACGAACTGATGGATTCTGACTACCAACCTACTAGCAATGGCCTCCAACCTAACAGCAATGACCTCCAACCTACTAGCGATGGCCTCCAACCTTAGAAGGGTTGGGCCTCCAACCTACTACCAGCGTGCCATTTGGTTTTGTTTACTACTTTGCATTGTTTGAGAGCTCCAATCCTTTCCACCCGCGAATACAACCCCTTGTGGTTGCCCCGAAGTTATCTGCACTTTGTGACTTCGCTTAAACGAACCATGGTCAAAACGGTTTGCAACATTGTTTGAGGTGAGTTGCGCTTTCCAATGCTTTCGATAGCCTCTCCAAGGCTTCGTCCACATCTGCCTGCGTCACCTCAGAAAACACAGCAAAGTCTCTGGTGGAATTGACCACACCATGCCTTTTCGAAACAGTTTAAAGCGCTGAGAACACTTGTTTGCCCACAGGCATGCCGATCAAATAGAACGTATCCCAAAGTTGTCAGGGAAAGGGTGTGTGGGGAACCACAGCGCCTCCGTCTTTAAGCGCATCAACCAAAAACAAACCAACCCCTCCACACTGAAAAAATGAACAACCAATATCCCAAGCTTTGCAGTTCTTTGCGAGGGTACCGTCAATGCGGGCGCAATCCGAAGAATGTTGCCAGCACCAGCAGTCAAAACCAGCAATTTCTCCTGCCGCAAACTGCAATTCAATCTTTCTGGCATCTTTCGATCGCCAAAACATCGAAATTGCAAAATAAATTACACATTCTTGTTCCGTTCACAGTAAGAATGCTCCTAGTAGCGATGCCAGGAGCCCCTAGTAGCGTCCTTGCTCCTAGTAGTAGTAAGGCCAGGAGCCCCTAGTAGCGTTCTTGTTACATCAAAATACTAAGCCACAAAACGTAACTTACAATGCAGTCTCCCCCAGCTTCGCTTGCGAACTCGCCATCGACCGAACCTCTGAAAAAACTGAACCCACGACGAAGCCCGATCTCCGCAGCTGCGGCCCTCTGCACTGCGCCACATTGCTCCGCTGTGGGGAACCTGCCGAACTGTCAAAAAGTGCCTCTTCATGCGCGCTCATCTGTAGCAATCAATGGCCTCCAACCTAGCCACCTCTTTATAGGATCTTTTTATGCGAGCTCATCTGATTTCTCCAAGGCACACGACACCTATGAGCAATCCAGTGCCACGGACTTGCAAACCTTGTGGGTCACAGATCTTCTCCAGGCCTAGTCGAAACTTCGACTTTGCACACCAAACGGAAAATAAACCGAAATCGTTGGACCAGGCCTGCTTTGAGGTGGGAACCAGTGGTTCGAACCTAAGTGTAAGCCACATGGTGAAAAGTGTGGGTGCGGGTCTGTGTTCCACCAAGATTGCATGATAAAGAAACAAATGCTGCCAAGAATCATTCTCCAAGAAATCTGGATTGCTCACTTGATCCAGGACATACCGAGCGGCGGCACAAACCAGTGGGGCACCTGGGGCTGCTACGATGGTGCACGTAGCTATACCATTAGGCTGCATGTGTTCTGTATCGGTGTTGGTAAGTTTGTACGCACTTGTCACGGTAGGGTTCGTGTCGATGCGCAACTGCCTGCATGGCAATTCGCTTGGACAAACTCCAATCCCAAGCCTTTCCCAATCTTTCTCATGTGTTCATCTTTGTCGATGAAGTAGCCCTAGTTCCGTTGAAAGCTTGACTCTGCGGGTGGTCCGTCCAAATGACCCAACCCAGTCTTCCAGCCGCACACCAGTGGCCCAACAGTATCTCTCCACAGACCCACCGGTATCTGCGTCCCGCCAAAAGTACAGCAGTCAACATACTTTCAAACCAATGACAAGGATCATTGACAACTTATGGCAAGCCAACTTGCCAGCAGCAAGGACAAGCCATGATGACACCAACAACCACAACAATAACAACTATTCACAAGAATAAAACAAAAACTGTCAGACAAAACATTCTGTAACTGTGGGCTTGAAAGGAGCTCAAATAATTTCCACTCGCGACTCACATGAGCAAACAACGTATAGCGTATAGACCTGAAAAGGATATGGACTGAGAGGACACCCATGGCTCTGTGTTTACACCATGACACTATCCGGCACGCTTCTGTCTTCATCATTCCAACCGCTGATGTATCAAACTCGCCTGCAAAAGTGCTCCCATGGTCACCAGGAGAGATGCAGGATGCGACAGCCTCTGAAAACAACTGTCTTAAAGGATGTTTTAAAAGGCCCCTCTGCCCCCCTACCTAGAAGTGATGGCCAACCTAGAAGCGATGGCCTCCAAGCTAACAGCGATGGCCTCCAACCTAGAAGCGACAGCCTTCAACCAAATAGCGATGGTCTCCAACCTCATAGCGGTGGCCTCCAACCTAATAGCGATGGCCTCCAACCCAATAGCGGTGGCCTCCAACCTAATAGCGATGGCCTCCTTCAAGCGATGTCCTCCAACCTAATAGCAATTGGTTTCCAACGCATTGTGTGACCTTGTCTGTCGCGAAAAGTGCCACGCTCGCCTCTGTGAGGAGCACAGCCCCAATGGGCAACCCACCCGCCAGCGGCTTGGCCAAGGTCATCAAGTCAGGTAGAACCCCTGAGAGTTCCTGTTACGAATCACAGAAACACAAAGCTTCTCAAACCTACTCACGGAACACATGGAACTCGGAGCCCAACGTAAGCGAAGAGTTTGCCACTCCGCCCAAGGCCGCACTGCACCTGGAGGCGCAAAATCAGCTTCGAATTCCACCTGTCTGACACGTGAGGAACGAGCAACTTCACGACTCCAAGCCCCACACATATTTACGATACCCCCCCCAAAACCCACCGTGAACCCACCGTGCAGAAGATTTGCACGCAAATGCCAGTTGGTTTGTTAGATTGCTTGTGTTGGTGAACCGTTTGACTATTGGTGAAACTGCTGAAGACATGGCTTTTCAGCAGACATATGGTTGAACCACGTTCATTGTTTGAAGACTGCGCATTGTAGTTGATCAACGACATAGTTTGATTCCAGACGGAAGCACAGGTGGAAGAGGTCATTCTTTGTATGAAGAGCAGGGAGGATGCGCAGCAGACTTGTAGATGCAGAAGAGGACGCAGTAATTTTTCCAGTGGTCAACATCATTTTCAAAAACAGCTCTTCGACATAAACTTTGCCATTCCCTGACAGACAAGAATCTTCCTCAGATGAGGCGCCTGCTCTCCCACCTCCGCCGGTCACCATCCCAAATCCGGCTTTGAAGTGCAACTGCCTTGGGATGTTCCGGGAAGTTCCGCTAGCAGCCAGCAATTCCGACGATGGAGCTGGAAGCCTGTGCGTGTGATGCAGAAATGGCTGCGGCAGAATGGGAGCAGACCGCGTGGCGTGCAGATGACGTGGACTTTGGCGCAGATGCAGAGGCCGCAGAGGGTCGGATCGCCTGCTTGAAACGATCCGTTGTTCTTTTAGTAGGGCAAAATGCTCTCTACTCCCTAGCCAAGATCCAGAAGGCAAAGTGCATCGAGTGAAGGTGGCGACCTGCACAAGGACCTCTTGGCCGAAAAGGACAAGCCACTGTACTCCAAGTACAAGCTTGGCATTGTGGAGTATGTCCCCCAATGGGAGGAAGAAACTCCATACAGTCTCCAGTGGCATGCAAAAGTTCGCAGCAGGAAGACCAGGAGCTTGCATCAAGTATGCCAATGACGAAATTTAATCCCAGCTCTGCGCAGCCCTCCCCCCCAGTGCATCTCCCTGACAGACAAGGAGAATCTTTGTATACCCTCCAGTTCACATCAGCTGACTAGTCAGCTTCCAGCTTATACTGAGCACTAGCATGGTCAGGCCAGGGTCTAGATTTCACTGTTTTGTTTCACACATACCAACACTTCACAAGTTTGACTTGTCATACCTTGTCTGCTAAGATACAGGCGCTGGCAGAGCGGCGAGCTGTTGCTTCCTTGGCCGCGCGCCACCTTCGGCATGGTCAGCGTATGCAGCAACTTCGTCGAAGCCTCCGCAGACCAAGCCCCAAGGAACCCCAAAGGAGTGAGTTTCAACCCATTTTGGATGTTGCACACCATGGCAGCCAAGTGTTTCCGGTGTACAGGCTGCCTCGACTCATGCACGGGCACCTCTCCGGCCATAACCTGGTCCAGTAAGCCCTGCAGAGGCCTGGCGGGCTGACCCGCCGGTACCACAGGCAGCACAATGACGGCGTGGTTGTTCTGGAGCATGACGCTGCCGGCAACAGGCACGGCCATTGGGGACGGGAGGACGCATACGACACGAGTGCAGGATGGAGCCAGAGGGATGCAGCAAAGTCAACGGGAGTTCTGGAGCAGCCACAAGCATTCTACATGGACTTGCAGATGGATGATGTCCAGACGGAGAAGGACCAGACCGAGAATGACCAGACTTGAGATTCTCAAGTCAGCGTTCAGACTTGAACATCTCAGGTCGGTATTGTTCGGATCCAAGGTCCAAGATCCAAAAAAACTTTCTTGGATCCAGCCCAGAAATCTTGGATCCATACGTTACTCAGACTTGAGTTCAGAGTTGAGACAAACTCTTTGTTCTTGTTGTTGTCTCCTTTGTTCAATGTGTACTCACACCCATCAAGTTTTACTAGGAAAAAAAAAGTGCCCCAAATATGGAATTGTTACTGTAAATACCAGTGAAATATGACTTTGGGTGGGTTTGGCGGGGTACCGTATTTATTAATGTATCTGTTCTGTCTTTTGTTTCTTTCCCTTCCTGTCGGCCCGCGAACCTCATCAAAGATCAGTAGTGTGCCTGTCTCGTCGCATCTCTTGCGAAGCGCCAGCAGGAACTCTTTGGAGCCAGGCACAACACCACCTTCGCCCTGGATAGGCTCCACGAACCTTGGGTTGTTCTTGGGTGTCCCACACCATCACACAGTCGCGCATACGAGCAAACGCGGGTGTCGAACACTAAACGATGGATTGGCCCGAAAGCACCATGGCAGCATGGCAAACAGCAGCTGCTTGGAGATGATGTAAATTTAAATAGTCAAAGTGCTATTGCGTTTGTTGATTAAGTTTGTGGAAACCATGCTGCTGCTGATTATGAAACGAGATGCTGATAGTCCATGAGGAATAGTAAAAAGGACAAATGACTAGAAGTCCTGTGGTTTGATAAACAAACGAAGGATTATTCTGAAAAACATGGCCAGGACATGAGGACATGCGCATAACAACAAAATGAAAATAGTAATAATGATGACCTCACCTCACCTCGCCTCACCTCAATGACATGATATCACATCACATCACGTCACGTCACATCACATGACATGACATGACATTACATGACAACAATGATGGGGCACCCGTCTTCAAAGCCTTCGGGTGGCAAAAAGTGCACTCGCATTTCGAGTCCGTCAACGATGCAAGTCGAGGGCCTGCAAAACACCAACCCTAAGTTCGAGCCCCTGTATAAATTATGCGTTTAGAATACTTTCACCGGTGGATCCGCTTCAGATCATCTCGCACTGCGCTTTGAGCCATCAGATTTGACTGGCTGTAGAAAGTGTCACTTCAACGATTCTGCATGGAAGGTGTCTGCAAATCCTATAAAGCTCGAGGGGGCAAGACATTCCACTGCGCACACAATCGGCAAAGGAATCTGCTGCGCGTGGGTAGCAGCCCTTCAATCACGCTGATTTGCAATTGCATCGAATGGAAAATACACCAGAATGGAAAACAATTCATCAAACAGCCCCAACACATGAGAATTGACAGGGGCTCTTTGAGAGTGCCAAGGCCTTTTTGAGTGGCTCACAGGCACGATGATGTGGTGCGGCACAATGAATTTGAATCGGGGTGGAGTGTCCAAGTCGGACGCCATTCTTTCCTTCCTGCAAGATTTTGAGTGTCAGGTGTTATGCCTTCAAGAAGTGAATTTGAACCGTTGGAGCTCTTTGTCCTACATTGAAGACTGGCGGTGCAAGGGGTTCTCTTGTCTGTTGGGGAATTTTGATGACGACTCGGGTCTTTTCCGGGTGGCCATCATCTCGCGGTGGCCCATTCGTCAAGTTTTTCTTTCCGATATTTCTTCCAAAGATCGGTACTGTGCTGGAGTCATTGAAGTTGCTCGTTCTGGTGGCATTGAGAAGATTGTGATTTGCACTATCTATGCCCCGGTCGGTAATGATTCTTTGGCAGGCTCTTTGACATCTGAGGTTGTTGCTGCTTTGGCTGCGCTGACAGATCAGTGGCTGTTACTGGGCGATTTCAACACGACTCAGGATAGCCCTGGTGTGGGAAAATTGTTGTCTACTGGAGCTGCTTTTGCTTTGGATGAGGCCTTCGAAGGCCAGGGTGAGTTGCCGGGTACTTTCTCGGAAAATAGACGCATCGACTTTGGCTTATCCAGTCATCGACTACATGCCATTGAAATTGACCATGCGCCTGGAGTTGGTGATCATCTGGCGGTGCGCTATCAGTTCAATTTTTTGCTTGATTTTGAGAGCTGTCGGCAACCACGCCGTTCAACTTCTTTTGCATCTGACAAAGAGGTTGGGGAGAGGTTTCGTGATTGTTGGTCCGCCTCCTCCTTTGAGGCAGCTCTTGAGCGTGATGGGGATGAGGCCTGGCAAATTTTGAGCAATTGTGCTGAGCAGTCTATTTTCCTGGATTGTGCTGGCGCTACGCTCAGATCTCAGTTTTGGTCTCCTAGAGTGGTGAAACCAAGAAACAAGGGTACAGTTTTTGATGGAGACCCTCACAGTGTTCGTCTTCATAGGCTTTATCGACGTATGAAGCACTTGGCAAATTTCCCTCTTGATGACAAGCTTCGAGAGAAGATCCATCGTGATGTGTGTGCTTTGACCACATCCTTTCCTGCTCTGAATGCCATAGGCTATTTTGATGCAGAACTGCATGTTGAGTTGGTTGCTGACATTGTTGGTCATGCGGCTGAAGCTTACAAACGTTTCAAGTTGCAGGAGTGGACTGATCGGTTGAAACCTGATCCTCAGAGGCAGGGTGCATGGCTTAAGAAGAAGTCCAGACGCAGATCTCTAGGGCTGATGTCAATGGCATTGCTTTTGTGGATGATAGAACGTTCTGGAGTGATTCTGCAGATCGGTTGACTCGAGCTAAGCACTATAGTGACCTGTTTGATGAAGCTTTCGGCTTTCATTGTGCGCCTAGCAAGTGTCACATTGCATGTCGGAGCGAGTTGGAGGTGGGCAAGGAGGTCCAGCATGCTTTTGGCTACAGCTTGGGTTGCCGCCTTGATGTTTTAGGTCTTTGCTATAATTTGGAGCTTGGGACGCTCCCCCAGTTGTCTCGCTTCAATATTGCCAAGGCTCTCACTAGGTTGCGATTCATTCGAGCAGTTGCAGGCACCTTCTTTCACAAGAACCTCCACATTAGGCGCTTTGTGTTTCCGCTTTTCACTTGGGCTGCTGGACTATGTGAGGTTCCTGCGGATTTTTTGAAGTCCATGCAGGAAGGAGTGCGACATGTTTTCGAGGCCCGCTTCATGGCTGAGGCGCCAAATTGCATACTGCAGGAAGTGGCAGGGTGGGACAGCGACCCTGTGTTTGCTGGTGAGTGGGCTTCTTTAGTTGCAGGCCTTCGACATCATTGTAGTAGTTTGCCCTGGCAGGAACTTCTTGAAGTTGAGTTTGCTGTTCAACCATGGCATCAGCTTATTCCTGGTGTGAAACCGCTCCTTGATCATCTTGGCTGGTGGGTGAGTCGCGATGCTTCCTGCATTTGTCGCCTAGATTCTGCCGGCCATGAAAGACGTTTTCAGCTTGGGTGGGACCCACCAGCAATTCTTCATGAATGGCTCTGTGACTTTCACAGACGTGTTGCTTTGAAGAAATGCAATCGCATTCGGCGTTCCTTGCACAGAGAGGATCCTGGTCTTCAGATTGCTGGAGGTTTAGATCTGCCTGGCATTGCCTGGCGCTCAACCTGGCGACATGTGCGTCTTTGCGGGGCACAAGTCAGCTTGGGCCTCAACCGGCTCACGGTTGCTGCACAACGCTTCCTTAGCGACCGGCTGCTCTGTTTGGTGGAAACATCACGACTGTAATAACTTTGCTGCGGATGATCCTAGATGGCTTTGCCCTTGCGGATTGAGCAAACCGAGTCGGCCCCATTTGTTGTGGAATTGCGAGGCTATGCGGCATCTTCGTCCGGCTGTTGCTCCCCCGACCAATCGGGTCGAAGAAAGATTGATGGCCAGAGTTGTTGCTGAGAGGCCCCTACCTCCAAATATTCTTCAAGATCCTAGCTGGGTGGTTTCCATTGCCAATGCTCTTACTGAGGCCATTCAGGGTGGCCCTTTGATCCCGGTGGCTACTGACGCTAGCTCAAAGGATGCTGTGGGTGCTTGGAGCATCATTCTTCCTGGTGTTGGCAAATCCTTTGCTGGACCCTTGTGGGGCGAGGATCAGGGTTCCTTTAGAGCTGAAGTGATTTCTATTTGGTTGTTGCTTCGGGCATTGCTGTCCTTGAATCCGGTGTGGCCTGATAAGCTTCAGATCTACATCATATGTGATTGTATCGCTGCTCTTGCAACTCTTGAGCACGGAAGCTCTTCTGTTCCTCTTTTGGGACGTGATCTTCTTAGAATGACATCGTTGTGTCGGGAACGGCGCATTGAGCTGCACACTCAGTGGGCTCCGGCCCACGATAGACACGTCCCCCTGTGGAAGCCTAGTGGCCCCGTCGATGAGTTGTGTTTGAGGCGCTGGAACCGATTGGCTGATCGAAAAGCCAATTCCGAGGCCTCACGGTGGCTGTTGAATTCCCAGCGAGCTGTTTGGTCTCGCCAGCGCTCTGAGGCGCAGCATTGGGAGGATGAGGTGATCCAGGCGATGGCTAACATTGCTAGCCACTATGCATCCCTCTGAACTTTGAGTTGGTACATCTAGGACTTTGGCATCCTGATGTTTCTACAATCTTCATCTTCATCTTCACATGAGAATTGAATATGTTTTGCGTGAACAGAAGAAATCATGCCCAGAAGCACTGCGCAAGTCTCCTCGTCAATTGCATCCAGACTGTCCATGTCATTGTATTTTATGAAACCTGCTGAAGGCATGAGCGGCTCGAAGGGCTTTTTGTAGCCTTCCTGCGCAAAGGTGCACATATCGAAATCCAACCCCGAATCTCAACAGACCAAACAAGCAAACATGCAAGCATTCAAGCAAAGTGTTGTCCCAAGAATTCTGCACAAGCAGCATGCCCATGACCCACCCGTCTTCACCTTCCAAGTCAAAGCGAGAGCACCCATTGTTCGTCCGTGGAAAGCATTCCTTGGTGGTCTTTCAAAGTAAGCACTTGCTTGAAAAACTGTGATGGTTGAGCCAAAAAAGCAGCAACGCCGTACCTAGGTAGCTAGGCATGCTCAGGATACTGAAAAGCCAAGTTGCTCAAAGGCAAGGAATTTGCTACGTGCTTCCCCTCGAGAGAAGTGATATTTCCGTGCAAACCTTGGGCCATTGCCAAAAACGTGGGAACAATGTGGCAACCAAAAGAATCCACTGTTTCAAGAGGCATCGTATCGAAACTGATCAAGTCGGTCCCTTAGGAAGAAATGTCCAATATAGTTGGGCCAACCGAGTAATTGCTTTTTGTACCTGTTTGTGGAACTCTGATAAAGTGGAGTCAACCATTCAATTGTTTTAATGACAATCCAGAATTCCAGGCACAATCGAAGTGCTCGTAGCTACTGAGTGATTGCTGGATCTTCGCGTTAACATGTTTCAACGGAACCATGTAGGTACATAACATAAATCAAATAGACAACGCAAATGCATACACTAAATCAGGTTGTGTGCAGTGGCAAACGTGGTCGCCGCAAACATGATTTTCCTGGTGGGAGCGTAGTCGCAGCTAAAGTGATCTTTAAAGGGTACAGAGCGAGCGGCCAACACTGATTTCACCCTGTGTTCTGGTCTGGCCTCCAAACTACTTGTGATGGCTCCAACCTAGCGATGGTCTCCAACCTAGAAGCCATGGCCTCCAACCTACTCGTGATGGCCTCCAACCTAATAGCGATGGCCTCCAACCTA